CTGCAAAATTTTTCCAGGAATTATGATCAGGTATGCACACGTATTGCTGCATGCAGACTCAGCCAGTGCATTGCTGTATTGTGCATTCTCAGTCTACAAGCACATGCTTACACATCCACAGTGTAAAGCCAGGGCTGAAAACAGCACCAGAATAATTAGCTGTGCCTCTGTTTTTTGGCGTAATTCTTACAGGGATGGAAAAAGGCATGCCCCTGATGAGAGGGTGACTGTTTTGCCAAATTTCATGTTCTTGTTTCAAAATACAGAAGTGCTGGAACTTTTTCATGAAATGACTGTAATAATTCTTAGGACATAACATATTTTCAGAAACAGCAAAACTTTCTAAAATGTTCAGCCATAGGTAGACATGCAGAATAGAACGTGGTAGTAGTCCTAACTATGTACTATTAGTAGTAGTAGTCCTAACTACTTTTTCTGCCTCTTAGTACATACATTCATAAATTGAATGAATGGAAAAAGTTGCAGTTGCACTGTCAGCAATAATAGTCAATGATCATTACCATAATAACACTTGATTTTTAAAAGTCTTCACTAACATGAGTCCTTTCATCTGTTCTGTGAGGTAAGTAAATATTACCTTTCTTTATCATAGAGGAAATGAGAAACAGGGGAGGCATGTGTCTTGCTGAAGGCAATAAAAAGTTGACGAGAATCTCTTAGTTCCAGCTCTGAGTTAGGAATGAGTAGAACTGTAAACAGAAAGCCCAGGATGTCTGAAGAGTCAGCATAATGATCCATATAAAGGGCTAGGGTGGCAAGGAGATTGCAGTGATGAATTTTGACAGCTCTTTGGGAATGTGTGCAGTAGGCATTGCAAGCTCTCTTAAGTTTCATAAATATGCATAGACATATGTATGCGATACTCTGGCACTTGTTTGTTCCTGATGAACATGGCAGATGAATGCTCCATGTTTACATGCCTTTGGTTAATCTCTGTACTTTGAGTTAACTGGCTCTAATTATGTAACAGCTGGCTGGGAGTGGGTCACAGGCTTAATCTTGTCCCTTCCACATGTTGTAGAGGGTGCCATGTTACAGTTTGAATGAAGAAGAATTTAACTTAAAAAAGGGAGAATAGCCTCCGGTCCAACACAGCCTTCTTCCTTTTTCTGTCTGGCCTGGAGTGGAATCTCTTGAAGGACAGGGATCATTTTACCTTGTTCTTCTTTTATAGTGCAGTGGAGCCCTGATCACTGCTGGAGGCCTTTGCATGTTGTTGTAATATGGAAAATAAATATAAAACATGGAAATTAAAAGAATGCAGTTAGGCATTTTTTTGAGATTTTACTTGCATGATTTTCTAATTTACTTGAAAAAAGGTAGTTACTACCTGTCATCTGCATTGTGTAATCCAGTTTCAAAATATTCCATATAAATTTCAGGATGTTGGTAGTTAATAGGGTCCCCAGTTCTTAGTGTCCTGCAGATTCTGCAATGAAGATAATATGGGTAAAAGGTTTCATTATATCTTCATGTCCTCTGGCATACATGTGTGCGAGTGTTAATTTTTTTTTGTTGTAAAATCTTCTGTTTGTTGTAGCTGTATTTATACAGTGAGACCAACATTTCCTGTGTGATGAAATCTTTATTCTTTTTTATGATTTTTTTTTAAGATCAGTGATTCTGAACCAGTGTGCTGCAGCTTAAGAAGCTTTCAGGGATTCTGTGGGGTGCCACACAATGGTAGCATTGTCAGGTGTGCAAACATGATTCACATGATAAACCTAGAGATTTAAAGTAAGGAATCTGTAGTGTCAAAAACATTTCTGACTGGCTGTAGTTTTTCTAAGTTCTTTGCAACAGAAGAATTGCTCTGTTATTTTTATGTAGTAAAAAATGAGTGAAAACTAAGAGCTGGCATCTTCTGAGGGAGGCCTTGACTCTATTGAAGAGTGCCTTGAATCTAAAAAAGTTGAGAACTATTGTTTTGTTGGAAAGAGGGAATACTTTTAAAATACTGAAGGATGGCAAACTATTCCTGTTGTTGGAAAAAAAATTCGTTTACTTGCTTTATTTTACTGAAAGACTGCATGTTACTGGAGCATGCTGAGAGGTGCTCCAGACAGCAGAAGCCAGTAGGTTTAAAGACAACATATTATTGAGGCTGGCTGAGAGATGCTTGGGGAAGGGGGAAAAGCCTGATAAAAAAGGCCCTGAGGTGGCAACCTGCTACACTATCTCTTTATTAAAGATTGGTTATGCTGAGTCTAATTCAGAATGTGGGAGTTGGGCAGTCCCAGTGTTACTTCATGCTACAGAACATGTCTAGGATGGTGACTAGTATGTTCATGTGGAGCTAGAATTCAGCCGCTGGAATATTTTAATGTAATCTGTTGTTTCATTTGGCATGTTTCTCCTGTGAAGTCTTATTGAACTTTCTGACTCTCTGACATGGCATAGTCCCAGCGTTGAACCAAGGGCTAATTTTAGACTTGTTAAATGCTTCCCCTGAGCTTTCTTTTTTTTATGATGGTTGACAATGTTTTACAAATGAAGATTTTAGTTTGCTTCAGTCAGCCTGGTGACAGTTCAATTTCCAGTGACTCCTAAGTGTTTGAAGTTCAGCTTGCTGCCAGCAACTGTGTTTTTGGAAAGGGGACTGGGCAGGGATCATCATGTTGTTTTTTGGGGAAGACTGCTTGTATGAATGTGAAAGAATCTGTTTTACAGCTGCCACTCTTGAGTCCTTCTTGGTGATAAACACTTTTAATGAGAAAATTTGCTGGTAATGTGATGGAAAAAAGGCCTGTGACCATTGTAAAACAGAGAGAAGGTGGCCTTGACTTGATTGCATGTGTTGAACAGCGTAGAGCCCCTGCGAATGGAAGTGGGCAGGCTGAACTTAATTCAGACTCAGTGCATCTACATGTGCATTGTACTCGTATTGCAGAGATGACTGATTAGCTCCACAGCAGAGCATTACTGTCCACATGTATGTCAGTATTAGGGCACAGTAAATTAACTCTGCTGTAAGATAGTACTGTCAAGAACAGTAT